TTAAGTCGAAAGGAATACTCGGGGCACCGAGTAAAGTTATTAACGATGACAATCCATTCACACCTGTCTACTCAAATCAAAGAGGCTCAGTTGGAGGCCTTACAACCGAAAAATGTAACGGGCGAGGCATTAAGAGGAATGGATAAAAACGTAGAAGTCAAAGACGACGGAGTTCGTTACCTCATGAACCGAATCTGGACGCCGAAGTTCGGTGGTTTCCGAGACGTCGTCATGAACGAAGCACACAAGACTCGATACTCCATCCACCCAGGTTCAGATAAGATGTATCTGGATCTCAAGAAGTTGTACTGGTGGCCAAACATGAAAGCCGAAATTGCTACCTATGTAGGCAAGTGTTTGACTTACGCCAAGGTCAAGGTAGAATATCAGAAACCCTCAGGACTTCTACAACAACCTGATATACCTGAGTGGAAGTGGGAACGGATAACCATGGACTTCATAACCAAGCTACCCAAGACCACGGGCGGGCTTGATACCATATGGGTAGACAGATTGACCAAATCAGCGCACTTCCTGCCAATAAAGGAAACCGACAAGATGGAGAAACTGACTAGGACGTACATCAAAGAGATTGTACGACTGCATGGTGTGCCAAAATCAATTATCTCAGACAGGTATAGTCGATTTACCTCGTGATTCTGGCAATCACTTCAGAAGTCCTTGGGAACTAGGCTGGACATGAGTATAGCCTATCACCCACAAACCGACGGGCAAAGTGAGAGGACCATTCAGACGCTAGAAGACATGCTTAGAGCGTGTGTGATAGACTTTGGTAAATCTTGGGATATCCATTTACCACTTGTCGAATTCTAGTACAATAACAATTATCACACTAGCATCAAGGTTGCACCATTTGAAGCCCTCTATGGCCGCAAGTGCAGATCACCTCTGTGCTGGGCTGAAGGGACAAGTCCCTAATAGCACCCTCACTGGCCCGGAGATAATAAGGGAAACTACAGAGAAGATAATTCAAATCCGAGAACGGTTAAAAGCTTCTAGAGACAGACAGAAAAGTTACGCGGATAACAGACGAAAGCCCTTGGAATTCCAGGTTGGGGACCGCGTGCTATTAAAGGTCTCACCCTGGAAGGGTTTAATACGTTTCAGCAAACGAGGAAAACTAAATCCTAGATACATCGGACCATTCGAGATCCTCGCTAGGATTGGCCCAGTAGCTTACAAGCTTCGCCTACCACAGGAACTTAATAACGTACATCCTACCTTCCACGTATCGAACTTAAAGAAATGTCTATCCGACGAGACTCTCGTGATACCTCTCGACGAAATTGAAATCAACGAGAGTCTCCACTTCGTGGAAGAACCGGTAGAAATCATGGATCAAGAGATCAAAAGAACAAAGCAAAGTCGTATTCCCATTGTGATGGTCCGCTGGAACGCTAAACGAGGACCCGAATTCACCTGGGAACGCGTGGATCAGATGAAACAAAAGTATCCACATCTCTTCCCAAATTCTTGAAGTCCCAGTCAAAAAGGTAATTTCGGGACGAAATTCCTTCTAACGGGGGGATGATGTGACAACCGTCAAATTCTGGTCAAGTCAAAGTCAAATAAAGTCAACAAGTCAAAGCGGTCAACTCTACTAACTCTTGTATACTAGGGTTTACATTATGTAATTACTGTACAACTCGCTATTCTAATGAGAAATCATCGAATGAAAAGTCGTATATCTAGATTTCCTTAACCAAAAAAGTAATGAACCAAAGCGATAAGCCAAAGCGATACACTATCGCATACTCATCGGGAGTGTGTAAGATCCTTAAACATGGCTTAACGGGGTTTACGGACCTTGAGTTGCGAAGCCGGACACTCAAAAAGGTCACAAAAGAAGTCTCTCCCAATCTCTTTCACTCTATCTCTCCCTAACTCAAATCTCTCCCAAATCTCTCCAAGTATGTCAAATCTCTCCCAAATATCTCCAAGTATGCCAAATCTCTCCAAGAATGTCAAATCTCTCCCAAATCTCTCCAAGTATGCTAAATCTCTCCAAGTATGTCGAATATCTCCCAAATCTCTCCAAGTATGCCAAATCTCTCCAAGAATGTCAAATCTCTCCCAAATCTCTCCAAGTATGCCAAAGCTCTCCAAAAACGTGAAATCTCTCCAAATATGGCAAATCTCTCCCAAATCTCTCTCAAAACCTCTTTTGATTTTTCATAATCATTTGGGGCATCCCGATACTTGACCCGGTGAAAAACCCTTCGAAACGGGACGATGTCTTGGAAAATAGCCTTTTAGGGCCGAAGTCCCTCTATAGGGACCAAACCCTCCTTGAGCCGAAGCCCCAAGAAGCAAGACCGGAGTCCCCTTGAGTAGCCGCAGCCATCTAGCCGCAGCCATCGGGCCGCATCCACCGAACCGCAGCCACCGAACCGCAGCCATCGAACCTGGAGCACCGCATCCGAACTTCGCCTACGGTCCCTCCTGACGAACCCGCCTGCGGTACCTGCTCGGACCGCAGTCCCTTCCCCTTCGGATCCACTTCAGCGACCAAGCCTTCCCTGCGGACCTAAGGCTGCTAAGACCCGAAACCACGCCCTGACTTCGGATTTTCCACTTTCCACCCGGTTTTCGACCACGACTCCGTTTTAAATCCGTTTTTAATTATTTTAACGAGGGATTTTCATCCAAACTTATATTTTGACATATAAGGTCCCATATATTGATAAATTCAGCATATTTTTAAGGAAATCCTTATTTAAGAATAAAATCTATTAAGTAAGATCTTGTGGTGGAGTGTTGACTTTGCCATAGTGTTTGACACAAGCAACCACCCCCATGCCCACTCCATGACCAGCCATTATCCTTCCACCATACCTGGTCATTCAAGAGTACTTTCCCCACCATTTGACCAGCCACACTCTTGGTCAAAGGCTGAAAACTCTTATCTCTCCTCACCATTCTCTCATTTCTCTCATTTTTCCTCCAAAAGACAAACACCATTCTCTCTCAATTCTCTCTCTAAATTTCGAGATTCAAGGCCATTCTCCAAGCTTTTCTTCTACTATTGGTAAGTATTATCATCCTCCACAAGATTATTTCACTTCTTTCTACTCAAATCATGGATATCTTACATAAATATAATCACATTCATGTTAGATCTTCGAACCTTCAAGGCATCTTCTTAGTGTTCTTGAGTAGAACACTTCTTTACTTCAACATCCATCCACTAAGAACACACAAGGTGAGTTCATACCCCTATCTTTTCATGTTTTACATTATAAACGATTATGATAAACTATAATAGGTATAGTTTATGTTTCATTACATTTCAAACTCTTTACCAAAGGTTTTCAGTTCACGTAAATCTGTTAATGAATAAATTTGTGAGACATTCGCTTCGCGTTACATCCATGTAACAAAGTCAAAAGTCCTGTAAATTGTAACCAGAGTCTCTTGTAGGGAGAACGTGATAGTTGTGTATAGATCTATATTGGGTCTGACAAACCCACACCTGAGCTGCATGCAACAGCTAGACCGGCAGGTCTGGGGTGACAAGTGTCATTTAACTTGCGACGCCTGAAGAACGTCGTATTACGAGGCAGCTGAGTCATAGTATGGTTATAATAACTCACATGTGGTATTAACAAAACATAAGATTTACGGGTTTTATTTCTAAATTTAACGAGTTTATGTTGATTTAAACTTGCATAAATTTCTTTAAGTATGGTAAAATACTTGTACACTTCGCTCTGGACTTTTAAGACTACAATGCATTACATAAGAAAATATGGGATCTTTCTTGAACGAACATCATTTTCACAAGAAAAGGATTTTAGCATCACCTTCAAAAGCTTATGAACTCACCAACTTAATTGTTGACACTCTTTCAAAACTATTTGTATTCTCAGGAAATCAATAAATAGGTAACCAAGTGCTTTTGAGGATGGGACGTAAGGCGTCAAACATTTCATTTTTGTCAACATAATGTAATTGCTTTGGAAACATGTAAAATCATACAATGATGTAACTTTTTCAATTATATTTATGTTGGTTGTGTTTACTTTGATTACTATTGCAAATTGTTGTTATGATACTATACATGAAGTCCTCCACCCCCGGTCGTTTCCGCCATCCTTGGTTTAGGGGTGTGACAGACTTTGTTCTAGACCCTTATTGAAAACCCGATTTTATGACAGTTGTATGATTGTTGGAAACTGTCTTGTGACAGTTTTCAGACATAAAATTGTTTAGTGACAGTTCTCAGACAAAGATATACATGACTCAAGTTCTTTTGAGAACCAAAAAATTGTGCGAACTTGACAACTACTAATCCATACATCATTTTTCAAAATCAAAACCACAAATATTAACGAAATGCAGCATCTAAGCCATATCTAGACTAAAAAAAAAAAATTGACGATTTTTTTTTTGCTGCAAATTTTTTTACTGCAGATTCATATATATGCATGCATGCATATTTATTAATCAGCAATCATATGAACTGCAGATACATATAAGATGCATATATGACTGTTGATTCATATATATGCATGCATATATATGAATCAGCAGTCATATTGACTACATACCGTAGTTATATGACTGTGGACATGTAGTTTTCAGCTACGAATTTGGAGTTCGCAAGTTCTCATTTTTTGGTACATACAAAATTGATAACCTCTCATTCCCTGTTCTTAAATCTCATATTCGATTGATGATTTCAGAAGTACCACCAAATACTTCAATTTGAAAGTGTTTTACACAATTATCAGAATTCCAAGTGCTATTATACCCCAAATTTCTAACAATGCCAATACTCACCCCGAATCAATGAAACTATATTTGTTTGAACTTGGGTAGGTAGAATACACCATGCCATTTTACTTGAGTTTTCCCATTATAAGGTTTGTAACTTTGTATCCGATCTTAATTCAGTTATATCGAACATTCCCAAGCCAAATGCGTATAAATCCGATCTGCATTTTTGTAAAACTGGTTTTGCCACTTTGGGTTTAAATCCGGATCGTAGGGTTATGTGCACCTCTAACGGTCTTACGTCGCCAGACGCACACCAATTCGTAAAACTCAAAGTTCATCCCTTTCCTGACATTCCCCCCCAAATCTCCATGTTTCTTCGTTTTCAAATTGGGGGAGAAAGACAAGGACAAAAACGTTATTGTTCTTCTCCCCACACACTACAATTTACAGACTTCCATTTGATCGTCTTTTGTATATAGATACACGCATTTATATACATATTTATACGTATATATAATTTGTAATAATGTCGGAAGAGGAGAAGTTGCTGAAAGATGCGAAGAAATTGCCATGGGAGGCTCGATTGTTACACAAGAACTGGAAGGTGCGTAACGATGCCAACATTGACCTTGCCGCCCTCTGCGACTCTATCATTGATCCTAAAGATAATCGCATCCGTGAATTGGGTTAGTCAGTTTCGCTTCTCATTATGTTTTTTTTTCCTTGATCATCGTAGATCCAAAGTTCGCTCTTTTTTAACCTCGATCACGTAATGCATATCAAATATTGCCTTTTTTGTTGATTCTTTATGGGATTGGATCAGGTCGTTACTTTAAGAAAACCATTGCTGATTCGAATGCTCCTGTACAAGATAAGGCGCTTGATGCCCTAATTGCTTACTTAAAAGCCGCGGATGCTGATGCTGGAAGGTTTAACCCATTTTGTTTCCTTTTTGATTTTGATAAGTTGTATTACCTACGTTAACAACACTCCATGCACGAGAAGCTGGATGTTTCTATATGACCAGTCTTCTGAAGTGTAAAATTTTCACAATTTTTTAGGAGTTCATTCCATGTCTAACTTCTTCCATTTCAAAGACACAGAGAGTAGTAATAATTTCGTTGTGTAGGTATGCCAAGGAAGTTTGTGATGCAATTGTGGCAAAATGCCTTACTGGGAGGCCAAAAACGGTGGAGAAGGCACAAATGGTGTTTATGCTTTGGGTGGAATTGGAGGCTGTGGATGCATTCCTGGTATGTTTGATGACAAATAGTTATTTTGAATTTGATGTTTATCTTATGAGGTAGGAATATGGAATCTTGTTTTTTTTGGTGTATATGAATTTGGCCCCTCTATTAGACCATCTCCAACACATAACACCATTTTTTGCACCAAAATTGACAAAAATGATGTAATCTTAGGTAAATGTTGCTATTTTCATTATTGAAATGTTTGTTGATAGGATGTTATGGAGAAAGCCATAAAAAACAAAGTTGCTAAAGCTGTTGTTCCTGCCATAGATGTGATGTTTCAAGCTTTAAGGTTTGCAATTGAGTTACTATGTTAGGTTCTATTTGTTTATCAATTATAAAATTAAAATCTTGCTTGCCATTCCAAATACAAGTGAATTTGGTTCAAAAGTTGTGCCACCAAAGAGAATATTGAAGATGCTTCCGGAACTCTTTGATCATCAAGATCAAAATGTTCGTGCTTCATCTAAAGGGTTAACACTTGAGCTTTGTCGTTGGATTGGTAGAGACAATGTTAAATCCATACTGTTTGAGAAAATGCGGGATACAATGGTATGTTGATGAATGATGAATGATCATCAATTATTATTACTCACACATGTTTAATTCTTTTAAAAAACTCATATTTGTTTTTTCGAACTTTTGAAAGAAAAAAGAGTTGGAGGCTGAGCTTGTCAATGCCACAGGGGCTGCAAAGCCTACTCGGAAAATAAGGTTTGTGACTTGTTTCTTAAGTTGCCTACACAAATTTGTTGTGTTATGTAGTAATAAATATATTTTTTTATAATGACAATAATAACTATGAATATATTCTCTACTTGTTGCCAGATCTGAGCAAGACAAGGAATTAGAACAGGAAGTTGTGGGCTCTGGCCCAGCTGGTGAAGAATCTGCTGCTGAGAGTATGTGATGAATCTAGTTAAACAAATAGCTATATTTATTCGTTTATTTTTTAAAAAAATATTTCTTTTTATTTCCTTTTAATGTGTTAAAATTATGTACCAGTTCCTGAGGAAATTGATGAGTATGAACTTGTTGACCCTGTTGATATCTTAACACCATTGGAGAAGTCAAAGTTTTGGAAAGATGTGGTAAGTGCTCCTTCTCCCTGCTTTATAAGATTTAGCAACCATGTTTGTATTTTATTCATTTTTTAGATTAATTCTTTATTACTTTCTCTTTCCAGAAATCTAACAAATGGTTGGAGAGGAAAAATGCTGTTGAGGGATTGAATAAGCTTGCGTCGACAAAGAGGATTGCTCCTGGAGATTTTATAGAAGTATGCCGTGCACTTAAGAAGGTATTATGAATAACTATCTTTTGATGCAATTGAATAAATTATTTAGGCTGCTTAATTTGTGAATCTTTATCACCAAGTGACAAATCATTACAAGCTTATATTTTAAGATTGGGGTTCTACAATGACTATTCCTGTCATATTGGAACAAGGATCCATCAATCCACTAAAATTAACACAAGAGAATGCCCTCTTTCTAGCTCCTAGTGCCATGCACCTCATGTAGTGTCTTGTATGCAATAATCCAAGAGGGACTGAAATCGTGTAATACGGTGAAATGAAAAAACTCGTGTTTGTTTGCCACATAGGAATGAAATGGAGCATTCCTCATGGAATTGTTGGAAGTTATGGGGTGAAATAGGGATTTATCGACGATCAAATCATTTGGATTGTTGAGGATCATGTAATCAGTTCTCTTCAAATTCTAGTTGCTCCATGTGTGCATGTGAATCTGCAAATAATTTCGCAAAATAACCTTACAAAAAAATCACAAAACTGTTAGGCACAAGAAATTAAGCAAGTACAAGATCTGTATGCGAGTTGCTCGAAATCTTAGGTCTGTCAAAATGTGTATTTATACTCACATTATTCGCTTCTATTCCGAAGGTTGCCACCCCTAGACCCCCACCTTTCGTCGTGTTCGGCATCAAAATCGCCTTATACAAGTGTGCACTCTGCCCCACCTAACTTGTATTAGATTATATAATGGACCCTATGACGCCCGTGTTAATTCTATAAACACAAATGATCTGGCGACACCAAAACCACCGATGAGAATTTTATTCCTTCTCTTGAGCAGATTTTCATTCCATTGGGAGAGGGTGTTTTTCCGTTCCTTGATGGAATAAAATGATATATTTCAATTACAAATCATTTTTATTTAAATAATTTTAAATAAACATAATTTATTAAAAAATAAAACTTTAATTAAATTATTTTTTGTTATTTTCCAAAAATAACAATTTTTTTGTATTCATGAATCAAGATGGGTAAATGCCATTGTGCACAATAAACTTATGTCTATGGCTTGATTTGGTTGCCAAAGTATTTTTTTGCGCAATAGGCCATTAAACTTACAACTTACCTTTCTATTAAGTTATTTTCGTTAATTTTTAACTGGTCTCGCATTAACAAGTTATTCTAAATTACACGATGGTCCCTATGGTTTCAACTTCTTTTGTTTTTCGTCCAGATCGCAATGGCTCGTCACGAGGATGAGTTTCATGGTGTGTAATCCTTCGTCTACATCATTTTCAATTAGGAATCCCAAAATGCAATTCAGCATTCCAATTCCTATAATCTATGATTTGTTAAACCAATATTGGGAAGGGAACCTCGACGATCTAGTAAACAAACCAAAACTTCAGATCATTAGGTTGATGTCGACAGGCCAAAAAAGCGAACACTTGTGTTCTTCGTTCACAAAAAGATGAGTTTTTAAAACGATTGAAGATGAAAACGAAGCAGCAACTCAATCATCAGAAAATATGATCCCGAAACCGAAAGAACAACCGCAGCCAAGTTCTTCCCCGATTGCTAATAGTTTTCAAGATGAAACGCCACTGGCTATGACTCGCGCACAAGGAATCCCAACTCCCGAGATTTACGAATCGCCAAAATTGACCTCGACTCCTTTTCGGAAAACGAAAAAAATCCAAAATCAAATTCCGCTTTTAGATATAAACTTTCCGTCCAGAATTGCCGTAGCCACCGCCACTCCGCTTGTAAAAAAAATATTACGGAGAGAAACGGAGAAAAATTAGGGTCAAATTCGAACATGGTAGCTGAAGCTGAGAGTTCTATAAACGGTGCACAGAGTGAGGTCCAATTGTGTGTATCCCCAGTTGAGTTAATGCAAGGGCAAAACGAGAGTTATAGCAGTGAAGGCGAGTTGACGATGTACTCTGAAAATACTGCTAAAAGCGATAACTATCCGATTCCAAGAGAAGGAAGGTTTTAGGTTGGTTGGAACCACAACTGTGTGAATTATAGCCGGTGGGGTCCGGTACAAAGAAGAAAAGGCACACACCTCGAAACTCATCCTCTAGACGAGCCATGGTGATCTGGACCAAACACGAAAAAATTGAAACCATAGGGACCATTCGTCTAGTTTAGAATAACTGGCTAAGGGATGATCTGTTAAAAACTAACGAACGTGACTTAATAGAAGGTAAGTTGTAGGTTTAATGACCTATTGAATAAAAAAAACAAAAAAAACTTTAGTGACCAAATCGAGCTATAGACATAAGTTTATTGTACTTTAATGACATTTTCCCTTTTAAGATTTCATGGTAATTAATGTTATTTTATCTTTGGTTTAGATAAACAATTTTTTAAAGTGAGAAACAAATCGTTTTTTATTTTATTTTATTTTATTTCTTTATTTATTTTTTTGACTATTTTAACACATGTTATGTATTTAAAATGAAATGAAATCTATTTATATGCGTACTTTTACCGATATAATGGTATGTAATGCCATTCCATTAAGTTGTTCATCCAATTTTTTATGATTCTATTCCATCATACCAAACCACCCCTTTTTCAATAGACTTTTTGGGTATCAAAAAGCTAATCGAACAAACCGATCATTAGAATCAAGTCCGGTAAAAATTAAATGTATGTGATGGAAAGAAATAGGGCTACTTATCATGGTAGAAGAACATAAGAATGCAACAATAATTAATAAAAGGACCTGTGTTGGATTGACACTGCATATATACTAAATCTTCTAGTTTAGACTTTAGATGGAGAATATATAAATAAGCAGCAAAAACAATTTATGAAGCTTCTTCTTTTTAAAGAGATGAAATTTCTGGTATATTACTTTACATATAAGGAAATTTCTATTCTATATGCAGCTTGTTATGGATGTAAATCTTGCTGTATCAGTAGAAGCAGTCCAGGCAATTGGAAATCTTGCATCGGGATTAAGAACACATTTTTCTGCAAGTTCACGCTTCCTGTTGCCTATTTTACTCGTAAGTCTACATTCTTTCATCTTTTTTATAATGGTGCCTATTCTTTTTTATTACTTTCAAGTTGTTTCCTTTTGCTATCAATTACTTTGATCTCAATTTTATAAGTTAACAAGTTGTGATTTATAGGAAAAACTAAAAGAGAAAAAGCCTACTATGGCCGAGGCACTCTCTCATACTCTCAAAGCAATGCACAAGGCTAAATGTTTGACTCTTGCTGATATTGTCGAAGGTAGGCTTTATTTATTTATTTTTAATTTGATTTTTTCTTTTTTGTCATTTTAAAATTCTATTAGTGTCCTAATAAATGCCCTTACAACAGACGTTAAAACAGCTGTCAAAAATAAAGTTCCACATGTGCGTTCACTAACATTGAATTGGGTAGCAAATTGTGTTGAGACGAGCAACAAGGCTACTATTCTTAAAGTGCACAAGGACTATGTTCCAATTTGCATGGAGGTTAGTCAAATAGGTGACTTTTGATATAGGTTTTCCACCATTTTATTTGCCTTTAGTTTTTACAGTTAATGTCATCAAATAGTAACCAAGTTTCAGGTTTGTTCTACCTAGATACTGTAAACATTTAAGAGATTTTAGCACTGAAGTTTCATTTTTGATCTATTCGTGTCAAAAAGGTAAAAGTCAACTTGTTTACCAGTTTGACCGTATTTGACTAATACCCAACTTTCAGTTTTGTTCCACCTAGCAACCTCAACTCTTTTATGAACTTTAATCAGTAAATCAATAAAACTAGAAATTGTTACGAGTTACCTTTTTATATAATTTTACATAATTCTATAAAACAGTAAAAGGAACTTCACTTTATTTACATTCAATCAATCTTTATAGAGTTTCTTTCTTTGTGAGTTTTGAAGTGTTTATTACTTTATTTACATTACCTTAAAAAAATTTAGAACTTGAAATAGGAATACATCAATACGCTAATGAATCGTTGTTGATATGATATATTATGTTGACAATTATGTAAAATAACAAAAGATAATTAATTGACTAATATAAATGAAAATTAAAATACGTTATTATTGTATATAAAAAATGTTGTAACATAAGTTATACTATTATTACATAGTGGGGTGACATCCTTTTATGTTTTTCAACCACTTTATTTGCTTTTAGTTATTAAGACAGAACTTATTTGGGTTTGTAGTGTCTGAACGATGGAACACCTGAAGTTAGGGATGCTGCATTTTCAGTTTTGGCATCAATAGGAAAGGTACTTATACCATCATCATCATATGGCAAGTAATATTGTGGGGGTAAAACTGTAAATAATATCACTTGCTTGTTTCCTCTTTTTAGATGGTTGGCATGAGGCCTTTGGAGAAGTCATTGGAAAAACTTGATGATATCAGACGAAAGAAGCTCTCAGAAATGATTGGTATTTCTGGATCTGGTGCTTCAACTGTGGGACCCTCAGGTGAAACTGTATCATCTGCCCAGGTGTGTTTTATTTTTTCATCACTTCAATCTTTATTTATTGTTAATATTGTTTAATAATATGTTCAAGTAACACTTATTTAAGAGTAATGTGATATATATACTTGCAGGCTTCTGATGGAACTGTTGTTAAAAAGTCAGCTGCAAGCATGCTTAGTGGGAAAAATCCTGCTCCTGCTGCTGTGAGTTTCACCTATAATCCATCATACTTATTATTTATTTTTATTTTTTTATTGTTTGTAAATCTTTACTTCCCAATTTATAATTTTTTCTACCACTTTCAAGCCTGCTGGTAAGAAGGTGGCTTCGGGAAAAACAGGTGCTAGCAAGAAAGCAGATGGACCAAGTCAAAGTCAAACCAAAACATCTGGTCAACCTGAAGATGTTGAGGTGAGTTGGTTACTTTCACAAACACACACACACACACAAGTGTTGAGTGTGAATCCACGTCAAAGTGGTCCACAGAAAAGTTAGTCAAAAAAGAAAAAGGAATGGTCACCCGGTTCTTAAGGACCATGTTTTGTGGCTTTCCTTTTCTCCATTCAATCCTATATAAGATTGTATTGTATCTGTAGTTTCATAACACACAAAAAGAAGAAGAAATAAAAACTCCTAGTTACCCTCGTGTGGACGTAGGTCAGAAATAGACTGAACCACCTTAAATCCTTGTGTTCTTGTTTTTCTATAATTCGTGAGCTGAGAGTGAGAGTTTCGTGTTCGTGTCTCGATCCTAACAAGTGGTATCAGAGCGTTGGTTTAGCTCCAGAAGGTGATTTTCAATTTTTTGGTCGAAATTTGTTTTCGTAAAAAACGATTTTGGTGTATACCGTTGGAAAGGTCTCGTTCCGAAGATTCCGAAAATATTTTTTTCTGAATTTTTCGACCACCGGAAGACGTCCAAATCGCCGGTCAAAGGTTCGCCGGAATAGTGACCGAAAACCAGTTGCCCGGAGAAGACGACACTGTAGCGCCGGAGCCTTGATTGTAAATATATATATATATATATTTGATTTGGTTCGTGGGTTCTTTACTATATATATATATATATATATATATATATATATATATATATATATATATATATATATATATATATATATATTTGATTTGGTTCGTGGGTTCTTTTCAAGCCTTCTGGCTTAGGCTATTTATAGCCAAAAGAGAACATATGAAAAGGAAAGAAAAAAGCCGTCCATAATTGTAGGCGAAGAAGAAGTTAGGCTCCCCACATGTAACTCACCGTCCATTCTCATTTTCAATTTCACACTTATATTACTATTCATAGTCAAACTATGAATAGTAAATGATAAGTTACAGAAATAACCCCTGAACTATTTGTCACTTGCTAATTTTGGAGGCAACTTTTCCACAGGCATGTCAGTTACCGCTCACATAAACGAGTTTAACTCGATTATCTCTCGTTTAGCCTCAGTTGCAATAAAGTTTGAAGATGAAGTACAAGCGCTCCTCCTTTTATCATCTTTGCCCGATAGTTGGTCAGGCACCATCACAGCTGTTAGTAGTGCATCCGGCACTATTAAACTCACTTTCGAGAGTATTCGTGACTTGATTGTAAATGAAGATATCAGACGGAGAAGCAATGGTGAGACTTCTAGTTCTAGTTCTTTATTGCATACAGAAAGTAGAGGAAGAAGAAACGAAAGAGGACGTAGTCGAGGCAGATCAAAGTCTAGAAAAAGGGGGCAGTCCAAGAACCGAAAAGATATTGAATGTTGGAATTGCAAAGAAAAATGTCACTTTAGAAACCAATGTCCAAAACCACAAGCTGAAAAGAAAGAAGTACACAATGTATCCTCTGAAGAATCGGGAGATTTTCTCATATGTTGTGTTGAGAATTCAATGGAATCCTGGATTATGGATTCGGGTGCCTCTTTCCATGCTGTCTCATGCCCAGATATGGTCAAGAACCTACAAACAGGTGACTTTGGCAAAGTTAGTTTGGCCGATGATCAAGTGCTTGATATTACGGGTATAGGAGACGTAGATTTGAGGACCTCCATGGGAACCACCTGGACATTGAAAGATGTTAGGGTTATCCCAAACTTGAGGAGAAAGTTGATTTCAGTTGGTAAATTGGATGATGAAGAGTTTCATGTTCACTTTGGGGGTGGACAATGAAAAGTGATCAAAGGTAACTTGGTGCCAAGCAAGGAATAAAGATGATCAAGACGGTCCCAGGAACCCCTCAACAGAATGGTATTGCTGAAAGAATGAATAGAACTCTAAATGAAAGGGCTAGAAGCATGAGGTTGAATGCCGGTTTACCCAAGACGTTCTGGGCCGATGCAGTTAACACTGCTGCCTACTTGATCAACCGTTCACCGTGTGTTCCCTTGGATTTTAAATTACCAGAAGAAATGTGGCAAGGGAAGGAAGTAAGTCTCAAACACCTGAAAGTCTTTGGTTGTACTGCTTACAGTTTGTTAAAAGATGGTGACAGGGATAAACTTGATTCAAAGACCAAGAAGTGCACATTCATTGGTTATGGGTCAGATGAAATGGGTTACAGGCTTTGGGATAGTGAAAGCAGAAAGATAATCCGAAACAAGAATGTCACCTTTAACGAAGCCGAGTTATACAAAGACAGAAACAACAAAAGTCCAGAAGATCAGAAGGAGTATGTTGAGTTTGAAGGTGTTGAAAAGAAGAAAGAAGCTCCAGTCGAAATCCCTGAATCTGGGGATGATTCAACTAACAGTGGGAGCTCAGTGGATAATTCCAATAATGATTCTGAAGATGAAGAAACCAGTCCTCCAACTCCAGTGTCCCCAGTCACACCTCAAGTTCAACTAAGAAGATCTTCCAGAGTCACCAGACCACCAAACAAATACTCACCATCTGTCAACTACATTCTTTTGACAGAAAACGGTGAACCCCAGTGTTACTCTGAAGCTATAGGGTTGAAAGATTCATTGCAGTGGGAGCTAGCAATGAAAGATGAAATGAAGTCGCTTGAGAAGAACAAGACCTGACACTTAACAAAGCTTCCAGTTGGGAAGAAGGCTCTTCAGAATAAATGGGTTTTCAGGGTCAAAGATGAACATGATGGTACCAAACGGTACAAAGCAAGATTAGTAGTCAAGGGCTTTCAACAGAAAGAGGGAATCGATTTCAATGAAATATTCTCTCCAGTAGTGAAGATGACCACTATCAGACTTGTTCTCAGTATTGTAGCAGCAGAAGGTTTGCATCTAGAGCAGCTAGATGTCAAGACAGCTTTTCTACACGGTGACCTAGATGAAGACATTTACATGACACAACCAGAGGGTTTTCAGGTTAAAGGCAAAGGAAACTTGGTGTGTAAATTGAAGAAGAGTTTGTATGGTTTGAAACAAGCACCCAGACAATGGTATTTGAAGTTTGATAACTTCATGAGAAGAGTTGGTTACAAGAGATGTGACAATGATCATTGTTGTTACATCAAGAAGTTTAAGGGTTCTTATATCATTCTACTACTCTATGTAGACGATATGTTGATTGCAGGTTCAGACATGTCAGAGATCAACAAGTTGAAGAAACAGATTTCTGAAGAATTCGAGATGAAAGACTTGGGAGCTGCAAACCAAATACTCGGGATGAGTATTTCCAGAAACAAAGAAGATGGCTCTTTGACACTCTCTCAAGAGAAGTACATTGAGAAAGTGTTAGAGAAATTCAGCCTTAAAGAAGCCAAGATCAGAAGCACACCCTTGGGAAGTCACTTTAAGCTTTCTAAAAATCAATCACCCAAATCAGATGAAGACAAAGCAGAAATGGCTAAAGTTCCATATGCATCTGCAGTTGGTAGCCTCATGTATGCAATGGTATGCACGAGACCAGATATTGCTCATGCAGTGGGAGTTGTTAGTCGGTTTATGTCCAATCCGAGGAGAGAACATTGGGAAGCAGTTAAATGGCTGCTAAGATATTTGAAGGGGACTTCAAAAGTGGCATTACATTTTAAGGGGAAAGATGTTATTCTGAAGGGTTTTGCGGATGCAGACCTTGGTGGTTGCAAAGAATCATACAAAAGCACTACCGGGTATGTCTTTACAGTGGGAGGCACTGCGGTAAGTTGGATGTCCAAATTATAGAAAAGTGTTGCCCTTTCAACCACAGAAGCAGAGTATATGGCAGTTGCTGAAGCAAGCAAAGAACTTATATGGTTGAAGAATTTTCTCATCGAACTTGGCAAAGAACAAGATAATTTTGAACTATTCTGTGACAATCAAAGTGCAATTCATCTTGCAAAGAATCCCGTCTTCCATTCGAAGACAAAGCACATACAGCTGAGATATCACTTCATCAGAGAAAGAATTAATGATGGCACTCTGAAGTTGAATAAGATCAAAGGAACTGAAAATCCAGCTGATATGTTGACTAAGGTTGTCACCTTAGAGAAGTTGAAGCTTTGCATAGCTTCAACTGGCCTTCAGGATAATTGAAGAGAAGGCCGGGTAACTAGGATGGAGTCAAGATCAAAAGTGTTTTACAGAAATACAGATGCACAGTTGAAGCACATGTGAAGATTGTTCCGTGGCTTCAAGTGGGAGATTGTTGAGTGTGAATCCACGTCAAAGTGGTCCACAGAAAAGTTAGTCAAAAAAGAAAAAAGAATGGTCACCCGGTTCTTAAGGACCATGTTTTGTGGCTTTCATTTTCTCCATTCAATCCTATATAAGATTGTATTGTATCTGTAGTTTCATAACACACAAAAAAAGAAGAAATAAAAACTCCTAGTTACCCTCGTGTGGACGTAGGTCAGAAATAGACTGAACCACCTTAAATCCTTGTGTTCTTGTTTTTCTATAATTCGTGAGCTGAGAGTGAGAGTTTCGTGTTCGTGTCTCGATCCTAACAACAAGGTCTTTGACTTAATCAAATACCATGTTGGGCTTGTTAATTGCAGCCAGGTGAAATGAGTCTTGAAGAGATTGAAACAAGATTAGAATCTCTGATTCAAGCACAAACTATTGCTGATTTGAAAAGCAATGCATGGCAAAAACGATCTGAAGGTTTCTTGTTTCACTCATTTTCATAAATTAAATATGAAAAAATGTAACATTCTGATTTATGATGTTCTTTTTTGCAGCACTTAATTCATTCAAACAAGAAGTTGAAGCACTCCAGCAACTTGACAAGTCAGTTGATATTTTAATCCGTCTACTCTGTGTTGTTCCTGGTTGGAGTGATAAACACATAAAGGTACTTGAAGTTTGATGAAAAAACATGATTATTATATTATGGAGTTTATGATATGTTGTTTTGGATTGGAAATTGCAGGTCCAGCAACTGGTGATTGAAGTTGTCAACCATATAGCTTCTACTGCACCAAAGTTCTCAAAAAAATGTGTTGTACTTTGCATAGGAGGTAAAAAGATCACTTGTGTGAACTTTTACTGATAACTGTTATTTGCAAATATATACAAATCATGCTATAGCTTTGCCACATGTCTACAGGGCTTTATGAAAAATTGGCTGATATTAAGACACGTACTCAAGCTATGAAATGTCTAACAACTTTCTCTGAGGCGGTGGGCCCAGGTTTTATTTTTGAAAGGGTAAGTGTATCGAATTGTGCTAATTTATGCATAGGAGTTTTTTTTTTTTTTGGACTTAATGAGCTTAAGGGTTTAAGCGCTTAATCTAGACAGCTATATGTGGCTGTTTCTTTTTGAATTTTGTGGACAAAATGACTTAATGTGCGGCTTAATTTATTAAGACACTAACCTTTACCTATTTGCCTTTATTGAGTTATTCTTGTTTCCGCCTCACAACTGTTATTAATTTTACCAACTTGATGAGAAAATGTTAAACATCATAATTGTTACTAACCTACTAATTTATATAATACAATTTGATTAATGTTTAATAAGAATAATACAATTGACATAATTGAAAAACATAAACTATTTATCCAATGATAGATCAATTTATGTTTCGTTTAAAATAGAACGAATTAAAATAGTTCTTAATTATTTATGTTCGGCTTAAAAAATTCTATAATATTATGATTTTCTTTATCATGTTCAATTGAAGTTACTAATCATATTATGATTTGTATCATAATTTATAGAAACTAAACTTTGATTTGTAACAATTTTTAGATACACAATCATTTGTTTTTTACCATCAGTTATACATAGAAGGGTAAAATAGTCTTACTAGATTCAGACAGTTCATTCAGTCCAAAAAAGGAACAATCTTTATGTGTACAACACTATAAATACAGACATCATTACCCATTCTACCACTTAAGCCATATATGACTTAATAAAAAAAAAAGAACGAGCCCTTTAGTTTAACTAACAATGAAGTTATATTCCATATTCTTTGTAGATGTTCAAGATAATGAAAGAGCAGAAGAACCCTAAGATTAGTGAGGGCCTGTTGTTGTGGATGGTTTCTGCAGTTGAAGACTTTGGTGTCGCACATCTTAAATTGAAGGATGTAATTGATTTTTGCAAAAATATTGGCTTACAATCAAGTGCATCTGCTACTAGAAATGCTACCATTAAACTTATTGGTGCATTACACAAATTTGTTGGTCCTGGTATGTGTTCTTACTTAGTTTTCTGTTATATTTTTTTATTACACAATTACAGTCACTGATGCATACTTGTCTGCAGATATTAAAGCGTTCTTTTCAGATGTCAAGCCATCCCTTCTTACTGCAGTTGAGGCAGAGTGTCAAAAAAATCCTTTTGAGGTTTGTCCGTGTTTTTTTTATTGTTTTTGGCTATTTGGGTTCTTAGGCTATGTTTGGCACGCCACAACTAGTTTATAAGCTAGCTTATTTTTCGATTTTCTTTAGGTTGTCATGCTTGGCAAACAAAAATGTAACTTATATCCTAGCTTTTTAAAAAGCTACACAAAATGGCGTTTCAACGAGCTTATTGAGCTTTTTCAAAATTCTCCCAAATATATCATTTATTAATTATAAAAAAACTCTATCTTATGTATGCTCTTTTATGTCATTTTACATATTTTAGCTAGCTTATCAGCTAGTTTTAGCAAATGTTTTTTTATCAGCAGCCAACTTTTTGTCTATCAGCTAGTCTGCCAAACATAGCTTTAATGACTTAAATAGGTAACAAACTATCTGAGATTTTCTCATTCGACCATCTAAGTTCTAATTGTGTTCAATTATAGATCACTAAGCATAAAAAGAAAATCAATATTTGCAACCTAAATATTGTCTGTTAGTGTATCCCACGTTGGCGTCCTATAGTTGTCTATATACTTTGGGAGTCTCCACTCTCTTTTATGCCAACATAACATTTTTTTAATGACATAATTACAACAAAATATTTGAGAAGTGCACATTTAGTCATCAAATTTTTAATTGGTTCTAATAAAGCCCTAAACATCAAGTTTTGTTACAATGTTGGCAATCCGACCTCATGTAACCGGTATGCATGCCAGCTTGGCTTGTACGTGGCAAATTAGTTTTTAACTATATTTTCTATTTCATCTTAGTTTGTTTGGAAAGTTATCCAAGAAAATAAATCAAACCCCAGTAAATAAACGTATTGTGTCCATTCAACAAAAAATAAACACCTCGTTTTTTTTTTTTTATCTTTGGGTTTGATTTTTCTTATATAATTTCTTCCAAACAAACAAAGATGAAATTGTTGAATACACTCCATTCAGGTAAAAATCATTTCCAGAAATAAGTCCAACTTAAATTGTGTTAAGTTACTATAAAATAATAGATAGATAAAATATAAAATAGAAATAGAAACTAGTTTGCCACGTAGGAGCCACACTGGATGCCACATTGGCATGGATACCGGTTACAAACTTCTATATAAGGTCCGGTTGCCAACATTGTAACAAAGTTTGATGTTTAAGTGTCTATTAGACCCAATTAGAACTTTAATGAATTCATGAACAAATTTCAAATAGTATGTTGCCATTCTATGTCATTAAAAGTTATGCCACGTAGGCATAAAACCTGTTATACCTGCTACAACATGTTATGTCAACATTGAATTTTTATTTAATGTCTAGTGATCTGTTTTTAATACAATTTGAACTTAGGTAGTCAATAAAAAAATCTCAGATAGTTTGTGGTTATCTTTAACATTCAAGTGCTTTTTCTTGCAGGGTGCAGGCACAAAACCAAAGAAGACTGTCAAGGCATCAGATGCTGCATCATCATCAATGTCTGGTGGTGGCTTGGATGGCTTGCCACGTGAGGACATTAGTTCAAAAATACCACCAGCCCTTCTTAAAGAATTTGAGAGTTCGAATTGGAAAGTGAGAATTTTAATTTTATTGTTTTACTAATTAGTGAAGCATGAAAAATCCATACTTGAATTATTCTAAGATTATTGGTTATTAACTGAGTGCAGGTTCGTTTGCAATCTATTGAAGCAGTAAATAAAATCGTGGAAGAAGCCAACAAGCGTATTCAGCCTAATGGAACTGGTAATTAATATAGTAATAATTTGCATTTATGGACCTTGTTCCATGTTTTTTCAATGTGTTAAGTTGTCTTTGTTTTTCAGTGGAATTGTTTGGGGCTCTTAGAGGTCGGTTGTATGACAGCAACAAAAATATAACCATGGCTACTTTGACCTGTATAAGTGGTCTTGCATCTGCTATGGGACCCGCAGTTGACAAGTCAAGCAAGGTCCATTCAATATGCCTTCCAATATTCCATATATATATATATATATATATATATATATATATATATATAGAGGTAAGTTCAATTGAGAAAATAAAAAAGGTTGAGAATGGGCGAATCGTTGTCAGCCACTCATTTATTTTTGCCGCAAAAGCCTTTGTTGTACCAGCGGAAATGGATAAGTAATACACATGTGTTTCCAACAAAACATGTTTCCTTAAACTATGTTAATCATTACCTTAATATATACAAAAACATAGTTTTTTTTGTTTTTTTAATTTTTAAGAAGCTATTTATATCGAAAAATGATTTTAAATATACCAAAATTTATGATTTTTTATTCTCTACAAATAGACATCCATATTGATATACTTTTAAGATAAAATAAATTTTTTTTTTTTATATATTTTCAGCTATCGTTATTTATAAGTGAATAAAAATGCATCAGATTTTTGCTACAGTACATTTTGTTATTCATTTATGAATAAAAATATATAATTAATTCTTTTTACAGTTTAAGTATCATTTATACTACTTATTCATATATGAATAACAAATTAACTGTAACAAAAATCTGATAAATGTTTTATTCATATATGAATATAAAATATGACGACAACTAATACACGTTTTATTCATATATAAATATAATATATGATGAAAGATGATGTAAAAAATATATTTTGAGTAAGAAACTTTATTGCGTGTCATATTCATATATAAACTGTACTTAAACTATAAAAAAAGTTACGCATACGTTTTATTCATAAGTGAATAACGAATATACTGTAATAAAAATCTGATAGATTTTTTTATTCACTTATGAATAACGAGAGCTGAAACTCTAAAAAAAAAAAAATTTTATTTTATCTTAAAAGTATATCAATATGGATGTCTATTTATAGAAAATAAAAAATTATGAATTTTGATATATTTAAAATAATTTTTCGATAATAATGGCTTTCTAAAAATAAAAAAAAACGAAAAAAATATGTTTTTGTGTATATTAAGGTAATGATTAGCATAGTTTAAGGAAACATGTTTGGTTGGAAAACACATGTTTATCTGTTATCCATTTCCGACGGTACGCCTTAGTGTTTTGCGGAAAAATAAATGTGTGGCTGAGAATGATTCCCCCATTCTCAACCTTTTTTTTTTCTCAATTGAACCCTCCTCTATATATATATATATATATATATATATATATATATATATATATATATATATATATATATATATATATATATATATATATATATATATATATATATATATATATACTCAATAGTTTACAAATTGCAACTGTAAAAGCAACCGATCTTTAATATGTTTTTCAGGGCATTTTATCAGATGTTTTGAAATGTCTCGGTGACAACAAAAAGCAGATGAGAGAATGTACATTGGCAACTTTGGATTCTTGGGTTGCTGTTACTCACCTCGATAAAATGGTCAGTGTCTTGCATGTTTTATTTTTTCCTTCTTTTATGTTATTACCTTTTGACTCTTGGTTTCTTTTTAGGTACCATATATTGCTACTTGTTTGACTGATGCTAAACTTGGTGTCGAAGGACGGAAGGATCTTTTTGATTGGTTATGTAGACAACTTACAGGATTAGCAGAGTTTCTTGATGCCATTAGTTTGCTGAGACCAGTTGCTATTGCTATGACGGTATTTAATTATTTTTTTAAGAAAGGGTTAGTATCATAAATGGGTTACAAGCTATTTATTTTTTCTTACTAATAATCTGGTATGAATTGTGTATGTATTATATATTCTGAATGATAATTACACGAGTATATATAAGCCTCTAAGTTACACATTCAGCCCTCTAACTATATACTTATAATTAATATCTCCTAGTCTAATATTCCCCCTCAAGCTAAGGGCGGTCTCCGACTCTTAGCTTGGACTTCATAAACAAAAATCTCTCAACGGCTAGAGGCTTTGTAAAAACATCTGGTATCTGATCTTGTGTTGAGATGAATTGAACAGACAATCTCCCTTGAGCGACCTTCTCCCTCGCAAAGTGAAAATCAAGTTCTATGTGTTTCGTTCGGGCATGAAAGACGGGATTTGCAGAGAGGTAAGTGGCACCCAGATTATCGCACCAGAGATTAGGAACTTACTGTAGGCGTAGGAATCCAAAGTTCGCATAATAAGGTTTCTAACCATGTCAGTTCAACAACTGTATCAACTAGGGCTTTGTACTCAGACACAGTGGAGGACCGCGAGACAGCCTTTTGTTTCCGTGCGGGCCAGGAAACTAAATTAGAGCCAAGATAGATAGCGAATCCTCTCGTGGATCGATGGTCATCCGGGCAACCAACCCAATTAGCATCGGAGAAGGCACTTAATGAATTAAAAGCAGCATCAGTGTAGACGTGTAGAACGACATCAAACTGATGTGAGAATCGAAGGCCATGATCAACGGTGTCGTTTATAGCGCAAAATATGTTTCACTGCTTTCCAGTGATTTTCATTTTCAGTACGAGCATGCATAAACTGGCACACTTTATTGACTGCATAAGTAATGTCAGGTCTCGAGAGGGTGATATATTGTAAGGCGCCCACTAGCTGACGATATTGTATCGGATCGTGAAAGGGAGGGCTATCACCTAGGGCTAGGTTTGCCATGGTGGTGATTAGAGACGGAACCGGTTTGGATAGAGAACTTGGCACGTTCTAACAGATCCAGAATATATTTCTGTTGTGAGAGAAGTAGATCGCAACCATGTCGATGAACTTCAATACCTAAGAAATAGGTTAGTGGACCCATGTCTTGAACCGCAAAGGACTTGTTGTGAGACTGTGGACAACGTGATCAATGGCACCAGAATTGTTCCCCGTTATGATGATGTCATCAACACAAACTAACATGTATAAAAGAATACCGTTAGTGCAATAAATAAACAGTGAGAGATCAGTTTTCGATCCACGAAAGCCCAAGGTGAGTAGGGCGGATCAAAGTCGCTGAAACCAAGACCGTGGCGCCTGCTTGAGTCCGTATAGGGACTTGTGAAGAAGACAGACATGATCTGGTTTTTGTGGATCGACAAAACCAAGTGGTTTCTTTAAGTAAACTGTCTCTTTTAAGTCACAGTGAAGACAAGCGTTCTGAATATCCAACTATCGGAAAGATCACTTTCGTGTGACAGCAAGAGATAAAACAACACAGATTGTGGTACATTTAACTACCGGGCTAAATATCTCGGTGTAGTCGATACCAGGTTGTTGATTGAAACCTTTTGCTACGAGACGAGCTTTGTAGCGTGTAATAGCCCCTGTCTGATCACGTTTCACTTTGTACACCCATTTGCAGTCGACTACATTGGACCCAGACATCGGAGGAACCAAGATCCATGTACCATTTCTCAATAGAGCCGAGTATTCCTCAGCCATATCTTGATCCCAATGAGGATGCTTGTTAGCAACGGAAAAGGAGGTAGGTTCAGGAGGAACAGAGGAAGTAGTAGTTGTGTGAAATGATTCATGTGAGAAAGGTTTGGTTTGTTTGGGTTGTTGTCGTAAATGAGCAGGGCGAGGTCGGTGGGTGGTGGATGTTGGTGGGTCGGACGCCGGCGGTTGTGGGGACGGCGGGGTGGTAGCGGAAGTGGCTCGTTGGAATGACTCAAAGGCGGAAGAGTAGGGTTGGTTAGTAGTTTTTGAAGAGGAATGTTGACAATGATACGTATGAATGGGGGGTTCGGGTTCAGATGGAATATCCGAGGAGGGAGATGTGGTATGTTGTGGCAGATCATTATAGTGTTTTGGAGTTACAGAGGAAGGTGGGATTTTGGGAAGGTTCAGGGTAAGAGGATACATATAGGTTGATGGAAAACGGGAGTTGGAGGAGGAGGAGGAGTAGAGTGGAACGGAAAAACATATTCATTGAAGCGAACATATCGAGCTATGTAGATGCGATCAGAGGAAGGATCAAGACACCGATAGCCGTGGTGGGAGGTGCTATAACCTAAAAAGACACAAGGAGTAGATAAGAAGTCCATTTTGTGAGAACTGTAAGGAAGATGGGGATAAAACTGGCATCCAAAAACACGAAGGAAGGAGAAGTCAGGTTTGCGTTTAAAGAGAAGTTCAAAAGGGGAGATACCGGTTGTGGTTCGGGAAGGCATTCGATTTATGAGGTAGACAACGGTTTCAAAGGTGAGATTCCAAAAACGTTTAGGGACATTGGATTGGGCTAGTAAGGTGAGACTAGTTTCGATAACGTGACGGTGGCGTCTCTCAACTGTTCCGTTTTGTTCACTTGTGTGAGGACATGAGAGAGGTTGAATGATGCCAAGAGAGGAGAAGAAAGTGGAGAGATTGTGAAACTCGCCTCCCCAGTTAGTTTGAACATGTCTTCTCCGTAGTATGGCTCAGTAGTATTGAATCCATTAAGATCTGGTGCAACGTGACTGTTGGAACCTGTGTCTTGGAATCATGATGTGGAAGCTTAGACTGATAATCTACATAATTGGCAGATGGTTGCTTCATCCGAATAGTGGAATGGTCTCGGTTGGGGCATTGAGAGGGAACATGTCCAATGGCGCACCTATTGCAGGTCTCATACACCATGTTTTGATTTGAGGCCCTGCAATTTCCACCAACTTGAGATCGATATCGATTACTGTTATAGTTGCCTTCGCGTCCTCCACGACCCCGATTGTTGTGGTTACCACGACTGCGATTTGAATTGTTGTTAGTTGTTCGGTTGGAATACACAGCCTGTGGTGTGTTTGGTTGAATGTTGAGCCTAATTGAGCCATCAATTGTTGAAGAGACTGCAACGTGTCCGGAGAAATCGAAGACAAACGGTTCGATGTGGTAGCTGTAAAGGCCTGAACAAGTGGTGGAGATGGAGTATTCTTTCGGAGTAAGTAATCATGATCAGCCAGCAGTCCATACAGATCTGAAAAGGCGATAGGGTTCTCCATGCCAAGTAAGGTGGACTTGAGGCCAGAGTATTCTTCTCGCAACCCTGAAATCACGAGCATCACCAGATCTTGTTCATCTATTGGTTTACCGATGTTTGCTAATGCAACAAAGTACTCCTGCGCTCTAGTATGGTAGGCGGTAGAGGTCTCATCACCTTTCATATCGATTTTAAGAAGTTGTATATTGAGAGTATATTCTCTGGAGGATGTATGTAGGGCATATGCTCGCTCCAGAGAAAGCCAGAGATCACGAGAAGTTGTACCTTGTACATGTTAAAAGGTAGCCTCAGAAATCGTGGACATGAGTAATATTCTGACGTGGGCATCATTCGACAGCTAGATCAAGTAACTAAGGTTAGGAATGGGTGCAACATCTTTTTCTGTTGATGGTATTATGGTAGTGGGTTGAGTATAATTACAAAAGAATCGATGCCTTTCACTGATAAAGGAGGGGATTAAATACCCAATGTATAGAGAGATTACAGGAGGAAATTGGGGAAAATCTAGGCTAAATAAGGAAGTAGTAATCTACATTAATTACACAGTAAATATAAGATCGGAAATATACAGAAGGTGTATATTTTGGTTAATACTCCCCCGCAGTCGAATGGTTGGCTGGCCGAATAGAGAGACTGGAACGAAAGCGGGTGAATAGCTGACGGGGTAATCCCTTGGTAAATATATTTGCGTATTGGTAATCAGCAGGGACATGAAGAACGCGAAGGGAACCCATGCGAACTTTTTCGCGAATGAAATGGATGTCGATCTCAATATGCTTCGTGCGTTGGTGCTGAACCGGGTTTTGAGTAAGATATACAGCTGAAATGTTGTCACAATAAATAATCGTTGCCTGGCGAAGCGGAAGATGGAGCTCGAGGAGTAAGTTGCGTAGCCATGTAGTTTCAGCTGCGGCGTTGGCAACGCCTTTGTACTTGGCTTCGGCACTGGACCGGGAGATAGTTGGTTGTCGTTTGGACGACCATGAAACGAGATCACCGAGAAATACACAGTAGCCGGATGTGGACCGTCGAGAGTCGGGACATCCCCCCCAATCTGCGTCGGAGTATGCAGTGAGTTTTGTAGATTTGGAGGGAGAAATATGGAGTCCATGATGACGGGTGCCTTGGAGGTATCGTAGAATACGTTTCAGAAAGTTAAAATGTGGATCGCGAGGGGCATGCATAAAGAGGCATACTTGTTGGACAACATACGCAATGTCGGGGCGAGTGAAGGTTAAGTACTGTAATGCTCCAGCGAGGCTGCGATATAGAGTCGTGTCTTGCATTAGGTCGCCGGCAGTTGTGCTGAGTTTAGAGTTAGTGTCGACAAGAATGGCACAAGGTTTACATTGTTGCATGTTCGCCCGGTGAAGAATATCATCCACATATTGTTCTTGGGTAAGAAATAATCCTCCATTTTGATGTTTCACTTGGATGTCGAGGAAGTGATGAAGTGGCCCAAGGTCCGACATAGCAAACTCTTTGGATAATAGAGTGATGAAGTGTCGAAGAGTTGCGTCGTCAGAAGCGGTCAAGACGATGCCATCCACATAAAGAAGAAGATATGCCATTTGTGTGCCTCGTTGGAAGACAAAAAGAGAGGTATCACTTTTGGTGCTTTTAAAACCGCATGTGTGAATGAATGTTGCAAAGCGATGATACCAAGCTCTCGGGGCTTGTTTAAGCCCGTATAAAGATTTTCGTAACCGACAAACATGTGTTGGGTGTTGTGGGTCCGTGAAACCAGGGGGTTGGAACATATACACGGTCTCGTTGAGATTCCCATGTAAGAATGCATTCTTTACATCTAGTTGGTGTATAGGCCATGATCGGGAAACGGCAAGACTAAGAACTGTGCGGATTGTGGAAGGTTTTACTACGGGACTGAATGTTTCATCGCAGTCTACTCCGACTTGTTGGCATTTTCCATTAATCACTAAGCGTGCTTTGTATCGTGCAAGAGTCCCGTTTGCATGAAATTTGTGCCGGTATATCCACATACAACGTATGACATGAGCCTCGGGGGGACGAGGTACAAGTTCCCATGTGTTGTTATCTATTAGAGCTCTATGTTCATCGGTCATGGCGGAGTACCAGTTTGGATCAGATAGGGAATGTTTATGGGATTTGGGAAGAGGTGAAATGGTGGAGGTGTTGGTGTTGGTGTTGGTGTGAAGGTTGAGTGGTGGGTTTGGTTTGGTGATTCCAGCTTTGGAGCGGGTGGTCATGGGATGACAGGATGTAGGTGGGGGTGGCGGAGGTGGAGGGGTTGGTTGGGTTCGCCGGGAGTAAGTAAATGGGTAGTATGAGGGTGGGGAAAGGGTAGGTTGGGATGAAGTGGTGTCGGGGGTTTGGTTGGAAAAGGGAGAGGAAAAAGTGGTTTCGGTGGGAGCGGAGATTGATGTGGTTGGTGGGTGGAAGAGGAGAGGAGAGGGTTCTGTTTCAAGGAAAGAGTAATTGTGTGGTGGGTTTAGTGTGTGAGATGCATAAGGAAAAGAAGTTTCATCAAAGGTTACATGTCGGGAGAGAATGACTTTACCCATGGACATGTCAAGGCATCTATATCCTCGGTATTGGGCTGGGTAACTTAGAAAAAGACAAGGTGTAGACCGAGGTGCTAGTTTGTGTTTGCGGGTGCGGTTAGGTTGGGAAAGCAGGCACAACCAAAGGTTCGTAGGTGGTCGTAAGTTGGATGTTTGAGGTAGAGGACGGAGGTAGGAGTTCGGTTGTCAAGTAATGGAGTAGGAAGTATGTTGTGCAAGTAGGTAGCAGTATGAAGGGCCTCGACCCAAAAGGAAGGTGGTAAAGAAGCATGGGTAAGTAAGGACAACATGATTTCGTTTATGCGACGGATCATTCGTTCTGCTGTGCCATTTTGTTGAGAGGTGTGTGGGCACGAGAAGCGAATGTGAAGACCGGTGGTGGAAGCAAAATTATGGAAGTGGTGATTGTCGAATTCACCGCCCTTGTCACATTGGAAAGTTTTGAGGGTGATATTGAATTGAGTGTGGATATATTTGCAGAAGGCCTTGATTTTGGGAAAAGTTTCTGATTTGTATTTTAAGGGAAATACCCATGTAAAATGGCTGAAATCGTCAATGATGATGAGGTAGTATTTAAAATTAGTTTTGCTGTGGATGGGTGAGGTCCAAAGGTCAGCGTGAACTAGATCAAATGGTTTGAGAGTGAAAGATGTGGAGTGTTTGAATGGTAGGCGTTTGTGCTTAGCAAGTTGGCAAGAATGACAAACTGATAAACGATCATTTTTATTGCAAGAAATATTTTTATTTTGACTAAGAAATTTATTACATGATGACCCGGATGACCGAGTCTAAAATGCCAAAGAGGCGAACTAGAAGAAACATAAAAGGATGAAGCTGGAGCGTTGACTTGTTTGGTGAAGGGGTAGAGATCGCCGGAACTTTCGTGTCTAGAGAGGTGCTTCTTGGTCTTGTAATCCTTTATAGAAAAACCAAAGGAGTCAAATTCAACAGAAAATGAATTATAACGACAAAATTTACGAACAGATATAAGATCTTTAACGGTATGAGGTGTGTGGAGTATATCTTTCAGATGAATAGGTTTGGATGGATGGGGTAATGTTGTATGACCTGATCCAATAACTGGTACTTGATTTCCATTTGCCACAAACACAGATTTAATAGAAGACAAACTATGGACCGAGATTTTACCTTCGTTGGCTGTGAGATGAGATGTAGATCCGGTGTCCATGTACCAATCATTTTCTTGGTCCAGAGTCATAGCTGAAAAGGCAGCCCCGAGTTCCGAAGGTTCAAGTGGGTTTACTTCTGTAAGATTGGCTTCAGCTGGTGGTTGTCGTGGTTGCTGCTGGGCAGAAGAGGTAGGCCAGGGAGAAGCCCATCCAGCTTGAGTGGGATATGGACAAGGTGGTGGTGAAGCCCAATATGGGTGGGCCCAGAATGGTGGTGGGTATCCGGCCCAGGTAGGGCGTGTTTGATTGGACATAGGGCTTCTGCGATTATTTGACTGGGTTTGTGTTGGCCGACCAGAAGACGTATAACCAGGTCGAGAAGGAGATGCAGATACAGGTGCTCGACGATTTGTGTTGCGCTGCTGGTTAGGGCGGCCTCTGTTTCCAGATTCGCCACGTCGGAAATTAGAGTTTGCTGGTGGGTTGTGTTCAACAGCAGCAACGATCTCTGTGGATGAGTGCGAGTCTCGAGCACGTTGTCGCTGGGTTTCAAGTTGAAGCATGGAGCACGCGGTATCCCATGGAGGTAGGGTCTGATTGATGTAGGCGCCGACTGTGTCAAATTCAGATGGCAACCCGCAGATAAGTTAAAGAACCAAACGTTTCTCGTTGACAGGGCAATCGACGTCATTCAGTTGACTTGCCAGATCTTTGAGACGTTGGCAATAAGCTTCAAGGGACGACATTGCTCGAAGGGTAAGGTTTGTGAACTCATGTTCAAGAGCAGCAGCACGAGATCCTTTGTTGTTGAGGAAGATATTCTGAATTTTGAACCAGGCTTCATATGCTGTAGAGTCCGGTTCAAGTACTCGCGCAAGGAGATCATCTGAAATCGTTCCATAAATCCATTGGAGGACGATGGCATCAATCTCTGACCAGTTTTCATAGGTCGGGTCAGTCTTGGATGGAGGGTCGGAACCATCGATATGGGCAAGGACTCTGTAACCTCTAGCATGAAGTTTGAACAAGCGAACCCATGAGAGTATGATACCTTGGTACCATCAAGGGTGTGGATCTTGTTCTGTATGTTCGTGACCGTGTAGACGGGATGGAGGGCTTTAACAGGAGTTGGGTCTTGTTTGTCTGACATCGTGAATAGAGAGGATGATCAGAAACAAAGTAAAGATGTCCAGCTGTAGCTGAGACGGCAGGGAGAGATTTTGGGGTAAGGAGCACTTGGCTCTGATACCATATAATTACAAAAGAATCGATGCCTTTGACTGATAAAGGAGGGGATTAAATACCCAATGTACAGAGAGATTACCGGAGGAAATTGGGGAAAATCTAGGCTAAATAAGGAAGTAGTAATCTACATTAATTACACAGTAAATATAAGATCGGAAATATACAGAAGGTGTATATTTTGGTTAATATTGAGGAATTGTGCCATCGATATAGCCGAATAAGCTATTGATGAGGAAAAAGGTTGAATCATGGCTTTCCGGTGCCCATAGTTTGTAGGAGATAGAGTAAAGCCAAATTTGTGAGAGGTGTGTGTTGTTTTATCTTTAGAAAAAAAAGTTGAGTCATTGTAGAGGTAGCAGAAGGTGACGCTGATCACGAGGTTGAAGAGGGCTTGAACAGTAGTCGCGTGAACAGTGATTCTGATAGTAGAGGGCGGCGGCAGATTTTAGGGTTTTGTGAGGTATTCGGCTGGCTCTGATACCATAATAATCTGGTATGAATTGTGTATGTATTGTATATTTTGAATGATAATTACACGACTATATATAAGCCTCTAAGTTACACATTTAGCCCTCTAACTATATACTTATAATTAATATCGCCTAGTCTAATACTTACAAACCAATGTTGTTTTGAGTGTAAGTTATATTTTTGGTCCCTATGTATTACTCATGTTTAATATATGATCCCAAAGAAATTTCTCTTGTGAGCTTATTGAGGTTTTTGTAATGATTTTGGTCACTGCTCAAAGTACAATGTATATATTTTTTTGGGACCAAAATTGCAAAAACTAGCTATACCCAAGGACCAAAAGTAGTTAATTTAAATGGAACAAGGACCAAAAACATTACAAGAACCTCAAATAATGACGAAAATTGCAAAAATCAGTTGTACCTAGGACTAAAAATGTAATTTAATCTTGTTTTTGAAAAGTACTATCCGAAGGTAAGCAACTGAATTTTTTTTAGATAATACCATTAAAATAAGGTTATTTTGTGAGCATAGTTGCTTACCTTGTAAAAGTACCTTTTCAAACCATGGTATTTTTTGAACATATCAAATGGTTAGTGACCCATTTATGACATTTAAACCATTTAAAAATATGATATTCATTTGTTAATATGAAATTTTCACTCGAGAGATTATTAAGTAATTTATGTTTGTCATCAGGATAAGTCAGTGGATGTTCGTAAAGCAGCAGAAACATTCTTTGGAGAACTAGTGAGAGTCTATGGGGCAGAAATGGTATGTAATCTTCATGTTTTAATCTTTTTTGTTAATTATTTTATTTTTCAATAACCAATTTTTTATCCACTTTAGGTCATGAAAAATGTACAAGATATCCAAGGACCTGCTTTGACAATTGTTCTTGAACGGTTGAAGTCATATGGTCCAATTCCAGGTATGACTTTATATATGGTTTAAATGCAATGAATAGCAACATACTTCCATTGATTTGTTAATTATGGCATCCTACTTCCATTTGGCCTTTGTTTGAATGGATCTGTTCGATCCCGAGTTGGATCAGTTTTCACAATTTGGTTCATTTTTTACCAAATATATAGTTCAAAAGTCGAGACATTCCAAAAAGTATATAACTAGTTGAACATTAACAAGCTTGATTTGTCACAAAGTATTCAATCAATACAAAAATTTCCATCATAACTCTAAAATGAAACAGATTGTAAAAGTATCCATCATATATTTATTGTTGACTCTAATATAATTAAAAAACCAACTCCAACATATTAATAAATGATTAAAGATATATATTAAATATAAAAAGTTCAAACAAATGAATAAGAAATTGTTATTCAGTTTTTCTCGAATATCCATTTCTCATTTTAGTAACCACAACAATCCAAAATAATAATTTGTTATTCATGTTGCATTTAGTCGCCTTTTAGCTGTTACTTTCCTTTTTTGAGGTTGATGAACTTATGTATTTATCTTCATTCAGAAATACATGATGCTACAAAAACAGCAGGCCCAAGTTGGCAAGCAGTGAAAAAAAAGGTTGGAAAGTCTAATGGCCATGGATCAAAACATGGAAGCAAAGTTGTATCTTCGGTATGATACATCTTTTATAACTTGCTCATTTTAATTTATAAAATAGATATCAGATTTATTGTTTCTGCTCTGTATTGAAGAAAGTGGATTCAACAAAGGACTCAAAGCCAGAGCCTCAAGCTTTGCTAAATGTCAAGGACTCTAATAAGGTACTATCCTCTAAGTCCCATAAATATTATTTGTTAATTGGAAAATAAATAAGAATCATAATATTTTATCTACTTGCAGGATAAACGGGAGAGAATTGTGGTTCTTAGGTTTAAATTTGAAGAGTTGCGATTAGAGCAGATTCAAGATCTTGAGGTTGCTATATATAATGACAATGTTTTGGTTGTATTTGAAATCTTATAAAATTAATTAAATGTCTTGAAACAGAATGATCTGATGAAGTACTTGAGGGAGGATTTGCACACACAGCTTTTGAGCACGGACTTCAAAAAACAAGTTGATGGGATTGAGATGCTTCAGAAGGTACGTTTTCTATTTAAATAATATTTGAGAAGTTTAATTTTTTGTTTAATTTCACTCACATTTGTATATGTTTATATTCTATACGCAGGAACTTCCTTCAATAACGAAGGAGATAATTGAAGTTTTAGATATACTATTAAAGTGGTTTGTTTTGCGAATCTGTGAATCCAACACGTCTTGTCTATTTAAGGTTAACTTTCTATCATTCCCTCGTTTTATGTAGAAAACTTTTAAGAATGACACTGGATCCTTTAATTAGTTAATAATAAAAATGCTAAGTCCTCCAACAAATTCAAAAGTTTGCTCACACACCCCTTTGATTATTTTGATGAATAAACCTTTCCATAACAAGAGTTCGTATAAAAAACTTATATATTTTTTTGAAACATGGTTATAATTAAGGTACTGGAATTCCTCCCAGAGCTATTTGACACATTGAGGAATGAGAACTACACCATGAATGAATCTGAAGCCTCCATTCTTCTTCCTTGTTTGATTGAAAAGGTTATTCTGAACTTATATGTGCTTAAAACTTATATTATGGTGGATATTTGATGATATTAATATCAACTCTATTCTTAATTTGTTGTGCAGAGTGGTCATGAAAATGAGAAAGTGCTAGAAAAAATGCGGGAACTAATGAAGCAGATGATATATTGTTATTCTGCTTCTAAAACATTCCCATATATCATGGAAGGTTTGCGTTCTAGAAATAACAGAACAAGAACTGTGTGTGGTGATCTTATTGGATTTTTGCTCGATAATCATTACGTTGAGGTAATGGAATCACAAAGTAATGGAATGGATCTTTACATTCCATTATCATGTTTGGTTGACTTGAAGGAATGAAATAGATCATTCAAAGATAATGTTTTTTATGTACAATTTACAAAACTAAATGAAATAAAATTGATAAATAAAGAAAAGTAATATATACTCTTTATATTTCAAACTAAAAAATATATATCACAATAAAAATTTGTTTACAAGAAAAAGTTAAATACCATGAAATCCTAGAATAAATTTATAATGTAAAAATAAAGAAAAAGTATATATGTATTGAAGTTATAGTTTTTAATGAAAATATTACTTTTATTGAAGATTATAAAAATACAAGAAATATATAACCATTCTATATTCTTCTATTTCATCAAGGATGAAAAAAGAAAAAAAAAACAACCCTCCCCATGGAATGTAAGCCGGAATCACATTCCATTCCGATGTAGCAACCAAACATGATTTTTTCATTTAGCCGTAATGCTTCATTCCATTCCTTTTTTAATTACAGCATACCAAAACCACCTTAATGAACCTTTGATCATTATCCTGCAGATAACTGAACAACTAAAATCCCTCAATACAGCTCTAGATATCGTTACATATTGCTCTCCTGATGAGGTGTGAATTCAACTTCTTTACATTTTTTATAATTTTTCTAAATTTTTTATATTTTAAATTGTTGATTTGCAGGCTGTGGAAGGTATGAAAATTTTGTGCCAAGAATTGGAAACCGCAACCAATGACCCTGAAGGCAGTTTAATGGATGATTTAGCCAAAGATGCTGACAGAATTGTTTGTTGTTTAGCATATAAGGTAAAGTTGATCTCATTTCTTGTTCAAAATGTGTGTTTTTCACATATGTTTTTTTTGCCAGGTGGCAATCACTTTTGACTTCAGCTTGATCGGTGAATCTTCTAGGCCGTGTAAATATGTTCTTAACACACTCATGCAGGTGAAATGGTGTCATTTTCTTTACATTTCTTCTCTAACTCTTTTACATTAAATTTAGAGTAAATTACAGTTTTGGCCCTTGAGTATAGCTGATTTTTTGCAATTTTGGTTGTAAAAAGATTTCTTTTGCAGTTTCAGTCCTCATTTGAGGTTCTTGTAACGTTTGTGGTCCTTGTTCCAAGTAAAATAACTATTCTTGGTACCTGAGCATAACTGATCGTGGACCAAAAACGTCAATAAAAACTCAGATAAGGATCAAAATTGCAAAAATCAGCTATAACCCGGTGACCAAAAATATAATTTACTTTAAGTTTATGGGATTGTGTTTTTGTTTTTTTATATATATTTTGCAGATATTTCAAAATAAAAGACTTGCTCATGTGGTCAGCGAGAGAACACTTGAGAATCTGATTACAAAGCTTTTGCTTTGGCTTTTAGATGAAAGGGTTCCAAGGATGGATAATGGTAGTCAACTTCTGAAAGCATTAAATGTTTTAGTGCTCAAGATATTGGTGAATTTTCATATGTGCCCCTACTGAACTCATGTACATATTTGCAAGTGTAAACTACATTTTTTGATCCTTGAGTATAGTTGTTTTTTTAGTTTTCGTCCCAAAAGGATTTCTCTCTCAATTTCGGTCGTTATTTGAGATTTTTGTAACATTTTTGATCCCCTTTTCAAGTAAAATGACTGTTTTTTGGACGAAAATTGTAAAAATTCATGGACCAAAGATAGTCATTTTACTTAGATCAGATGGTGACCACAAAACATTACAAGAACCTCAAAAAAGGACCAAATTGCAAGAGAACTTTTTGGGACCAAAATTTTAAATATCGGCTCTACATAGGGACCAAAAATGTAATTTACTCTACTTTCAACTGTGTATTGACTTTTTTGTAAATGCAGGATACTGCAGAGCGGACTTTGTCATTCGTGATACTCATTAGTCTCCTAAAACCACAAGGATATCCCTTAAATGAGTCTTTTGCTACAAGAAGTATCAACTTCTCTGAGTTAGTGGTCAAATGCTTGATCAAACTTACAAAGGTAAAATTTTCTTTTTCCTTTAGAGTTAATTACATTTTTGGTCTCTGAGTATGGCTACTTTTTTTTAGTTTTGGTCCTTATTTGAGGTTCTTGTAATGTTTTTTGTTCCATGTTCAAAGTGAAATGACTACTTTTGGTCCCTGAGTATTACCTGGTTTTGCAGATTTGATCCCAAAAGTATAGTCATTTTGCTTGTAACAGGGACCAAAAATATTACAAAAATCTCAAATAAGGAACAAAATTTGCATGAAAAAACTTTTTTGGACTAAATTTGATAAAATCAGCTATACTCAGGGACCAAAAAGATAATTTACTCTTTTCCTTACTAGAAACATTGTAAATTATAACTTACCATCTTTTCTTCGCATTGATGAAGGCTCTTGAAAATACCATAGATGAGGTCAACATTGACCGCATTCTCCAAAGCATTCATGTATATTTGGAAGAACTCGGGGTGGAAGAAATCAGAAGAAGGTTTGTATTATCCTAAGGAAATATACAGAAAATAGCAACGTACTTAACTTTTTTTCTTTATCTATATAGACAATCTATTTTATTTCTTACCAGTATTATATATATAATTATTATATACATTTTGTTACCCATGATAGAAATTTACTTAAATTAATAAAATATATTCCTTATTTTTCCTATTCTAACTATTTATTTATAGAGCGGGAACGGAGGAGAGGCCTTTCCGCATGGTGAAAACTCTTTTATATGAGCTTGTAAAGCTTCGTGGGCCCGCAATAAAAGATAATCTTTCTATGGTCCCAATAGATATGGAACCCCAACCTATAATACTTGCCTACATTGATCTTAATCTTCAGGTACTGTTTTTTAAAATAAGTAGTATCATTTTAAATCATCGTATTAATTCTATTTATTATTAAAAATTGTTAGATCAGAATGTTGATGCCAGCTGGTCAAGCACATTCGATGCCCAATAATCCAATGCCTACGGGTACCACACATTCTGCAGAATGCCCAATTGAAGGTCAGTTGCTTTCCTTCTTTTGTCTTGTTTTTAGGGTTGAAGGCATTAAATCGCAACATACTTTGAATTTTTCTTATTACAACATTCTACTTTGAAAAGAATACGCAATTATTATATCTAAATGTAAAACAATTTTATTTGAAAGTAGGATCCACTAATAAGAATGTATTTGACAGCAGATTGTTGTGATATAAGTGGTCCTTGAGTATAGCTGATTTTTTTTATTAGTTTTGGTCCCAAAAAATTCTCTTGCAGTTTTTGTCCTTATTAGAGGTTTGTGTAATGTTTTTTTGGTCCCTGTTCGGCTGTTTCATGTACAATAAGTATGTTAATTATGGGACCATAATAGAAAAAGTTAGCTATAATCAAGGATCAAATATAGTCATTTTACATGGAACATGGACCAAAAAAACATTACAAGAACCTGAAATAAGGACCAAAGTTGCAATAGAAATCCTTTTAGGACCAAAATTGCAAAAAAAACATGGACCAAGAGTCATTTTACTAGGAATAGTTGCAAAAAATGTTCAAGAACGTCAACTAAGGACCAAAATTGCAAGAGAAAACTTTTTGGGACTAAAATGGCAAATTTTGTAGACTAGAGGACCAAAAAAGTAATTTAGTAAATAAGAAATGAAAGTAAAATGCTATAATAAACAATTACAAAACATTTTTTAAGTTTTAGTTTAGTGTTCATCCCCATGACAAGTTGAGGTTTAAATATTTTTCAGGTTGATATATTTTCTTAACTTGAAAATGAAATTATGTGAAGCTTTGTGGACATACATTTATAATCTCGAGGTAAATATCAGCTTCCCATATAACAATATGTAGGTTTCCTTTTTATCTTTTTTTTTTTTTTTTTTTTTAAATTATGCAGGACAAAATAGAAACCTTTTGCTGCTTATTGGACTGAGATCAGGACTCATGTGATAAAACAAAAAAAAAAAGGTTCCTTTTTTATGTTAATTATGAGGGGTGCTCTGGACTTCATGTGATGACAATTTTGACTTGAAAGTTAAATTATGTTTTATTTTCAATGGGCGAAATTAGTGACGGTTGAAAACATAGCTAAAAATCGAACTGGCGAAAGTATACATATAATTGTATATACTACATTAAATTCTTAATATAATTACAACAAATGGACAGAAATATCTATTTTCAAACGATGGTATGTTATCTTTTATCGATTGTTTTGGTAGTATTGGGTTTTCTTTGAAGGATTAGATATCTCTAGTTTGCATCTGAATGCATATTATAACTGTAAAATAATAAAACAAGTAAATAAGTAGTCATGTTTGTCAAAACTTTGAAGATCATTCTAAACAACCAAAATAACAATCATTTTGCTATAATATGTAACTAGGGGTTGTTTTTTTTTCTTTTGTTTAAGTGTTATATATGAATAAAGTGTTGTGTATATATAACGTCAATTTCTCTGTCATACTTATTGTCCAAAATCATGTTTAATGATAAATTTGTTTTCAACAAGGAACCGGTGAATACAAATTCTAACGATGAAAATAGTTCAATATTTCTAGATTCATGTGTGTGAGGGACATTATTTATGGTCAATTAAAAGTTTGTAATTGCTAGAGTTTTTATAGAAATATACACTATACATATTAAACAAATGTTAAATAATCGAAATGTACATAAGTTATGTAATAACAACACTAAAATGTACATGGTTATATATAAGGGTCATGTATGACATTAAACGACTAAGACTTGGCACGGTTAGGTTCTTGACACTTCCTAGTATATAAATTTCGATTTCCATGAATATAATCCATATGTATTAATGAAATGTGTATGTATACATTATATGTATTATAGTGTTGTTTTCTATAAGTTAAATAAATACACATATGTATGTAACATTAGAAAAACAATGAATGCATGGGAAATCTTATAAAAAGATCTATCAGTACACAAAAATGACAGTATACTAACTAACCCATGCTAGTCTCGAACATCACCTCTCGCACAAACACTAACATACTCTCTCAATCCTTCTAAACCTACCATATAAGATATACATGGTACACTTGAACTAGCCACAAACTCACTCTTACAAACGTGCTCTACCTCATGCAAGCCAAACTCTCACAAAACATTACTATGTCACACATGCAAAAGATCTAAAGAAATAATGTATGTGTACCTTCAAGATCTTTCAACTGATCATATTTGTATCATGAGATCACCAAGAAATCTGATCAAATATCTTTCCTATTTCTGCATTAATCGTAGCAAACACACACACACACACACACACTCTCTCTCTCTCTCTCTCTCTCTCTCTCTCTCTCTATATATATATATATATATATATATATATATATATATATATATATATATATATATATATATATATATATAATCGGAGGCTTCTGCCTTCCTTCGAGCCCTTCCTACCTCCATTCTCAACAACAAGCAAGCCCCAAACACCTCCCTTCGACCAGGTCGTGGTTGCTTCTCTAGTCATCAACAGCCCTTGTCGAGCTCCTGTTATCGAGTGAAAACGGTGATAAACCACATACTGTTTCCTCTTTTGCTCGACTATCTCAGCCCTCCAGCATCTCCTCATCCATTTCATGCTTCATCTGTCGGTTTCTAGGTGAGAATATATTTTCCCTTATCGAAAATAACTCGAAAACCACCAAGAACAGCCGCCACGCGCCATCGTGGCCGACGGCGTGTGGAGCTCCGACGAGGTGGTTATGGTGATGATTTTGGTTTCAAACTGATTTTTATAGTGTTCTAACATATTGTTTTCTTTTTGGTATGTCAAGATCGATCCCAAGGCTCTTTATTCCAAAAATCACTTTGGTGTTCGGTTTCTCGTTCTCCCGACAAAACTCAACTCACGCATCTAGGGTGAGTCGGTATGGCCCCATTTTCATAGATTTCATGTTTGGGGGAGAATACATGTTGTGTGTCAAAAATATGTTTGTTGTTATGATTTTTCATGCACAAAATAGCAACTTGGTTATGTTTTGAAAGTTTTGAAATAACAACCAAAAATGGTATTTTACATTAAAAAGGTCTCATAAGCAAGTAGAATGCTATTTATGACATTCTTGAATTTTGTTAGAAAAATGGTTATAAAAGATAAGAAAAATCATAAATTATAAGTAGAATGCTATAATGAGATAAGTTGTTATGAAAAGTCATAAAATTTTAATCCTTGTATATTTAAGTTTAAGTATGTTAGGAACGAATTGAAAAGATACAACTATGACTAAAAATGTTATTATGCAGAAAAAGGAAAGTACATTGGCATAAATGGTGCAAAAACCAAGTTTAAGAAATTATATAATTGTTAGGTATAATTCTCAAATAATTAACTTTTAGTATATAGATTAAGTAAAAAGGAATGTAAAATTTATTATATATTTTTACATTAATTATAAAAATATAGTTCGTTTTTACTAAGATGTGGATTTTGTTGCGTAAATTAATGTGATTAACTTCAACACTTAAAAATCATTAATTACGAAATATTTTATCGTATAAATCTGTTAAGATTTATGGAGTCATGAACAAATTGACAAGTTCCTAAGAGTTCAAGGGCCATAAATGAAACTTCGAAATTAAAACAATTGAATTGTTGAATGGACGGTGGAATCAATTGTTTTAATATTTATTGTCACTATCTCTAATGTGAACGCAACAATTGAACATTTGAATTGGACGCGAACTTTCGGTGGAATAATCAATGGACGGCTAAAGAAAAATCTACGCATTTTTCAATCTTTGCGGCAATCTTGTGCATATTGCGGCTCACAAATATACCTATATATATGCAGGTATGTTTTGCATATTTTGTGTGCAAAAACTTGAGAGAACATCAAGTGTAGAGTGTCAAGCCAATTGTAATCTTGTGAGTTTTAATAAAATTCTCTAGTTGCAGCCCGTGGACGTAGGATTTACACCGAATCCGAACCACGTAAAATCCTTGTGTTCTTTATTGCTTTATTTTCTCGTTTCGTTTTTGTGTGTGTGATAGTGTTTCCGCTGCGTGTACCCGGTCCGATTCCTAACAACTGGTATCAGAGCCAGATTAGCGAGGTTTGGAGGGTACAATCATTTTTTTTATCACGCACGAGTGTACCTGATTTGTATCTTGTTTGTCGTAATGGCTGAAGACAAGGTTGTAATCGAAAAGTTTAATGGTTCTGATTTTTAGCTGGTGGAAAATGCAATTAGAAGCATTGCTTAGTCAGAAAGACTTGGACATGGTACTCGGAGACAAACCGGAAAGAAAATGGAAAAAAGCTTTTGAAGATGCGTGGAACTCAAAGGACAAGAAAGCCAAGGCGGTTATTACATTGTCGTTGACGAAGAGCGTTGCTTTCAACATCATGAATGAAACCACGGCGCGTGGTATGATGGAGGCTCTGTCAAATATGTATGAGAAAACATCGGCGGCTACCAAGGTGTTCTTGATGAAGGAGTTGTTCACTACAAAGGATGATGAGGAAGGCTCAGTTACGGTTCACATTAACAATCTAAATTCAATTCTGTCCATTATCATCTGTGGGATTAATTTGATAACGAGACTCAAGCATCACTGCTACTAGCTTCTCTACCTGATAGCTGGTCCGGAACAGTTACTGCTGTTACGAGTTCCGTGGGGACCAGTGGTATGACTTTTGAAGGGGTTAGAGATTTGTTCTTGGCGAAGATATCAGACGCAAGAATCAAGGTGGATCTTCTTCTTCTGATTTATTAAATGTCGGAAGAGGTAGAGGGAATAGCAGGAGCAGTGGGAGTCGGGGAAAAAGTTCTTCTAGAACTTTGAAGAATGTGAAATGCTGGAACTGCCAAGAGGTGGGACATGTTAAGAGTCAATGTCCAAAGAAAGAATTAAACATGCTGGTGCTGAGAGTGTGTCTGAGGATGATGCACTGATACTCAATATGGAAAGTTCTGTAGACTCTTGGGTCAGGATTCAGGGGCTTCGTTTCACGCCATGGACAACGGGGAAACGATGGGTGAATTTGAAAGAAGGAGATTTTGGAAAGGTACGTTTGGCAAATGACGAGATGCTTCAGGTACCGGACATGGGAGATATTGATTTGGTTACTTCATTAGGAATACATGGAGCCTGAAGGATGTCAGGGTGATTTCGGAGCTGAAGAAAGAAGAAATTGATTCTGTTGGTCAGCTTGGATAAACAAGGACTGGAAGTAAGGTTTGGTGGTGGTAAATGGATGGTGGTCAATGGTAATTCGGTGATTGCTCAAGGTATGAAGCGTGGGTCATTGTATATGGTTGAGTTGTGGTACCTGCTGAGGGAAGTATGACCATCCCGATTAAGCAAAACAAAATCTGGTTCGCTAAATCTACTGCTAGAGAGTTCATTTTGCAAACATGAATTCTGGAGCAAGGGGATGTTAGTGAACGAGTCGGAAAATTCTAAACCATTCAGGGGGATTCTGTGACAGTGGGAGCACGGGGTGTGTTCCGAGTACAGTTACAAAGAGCCGTTGGGTTTTGGAAGACTAAGACTGGAAAATTCTCTTTGTTGGAAGTTTGCAAAGTTTGGAGAGTGTTAGTGGTCCTCGGTGTATCTCTGGATCTGGTGGAGTGTCCAAAAACCGGTTGAGACAGAAGATGAGTCGGTGGTGGGATTAGCCACGACTGAGTTGGAGCTAGTGGGAGCTTCAAACTGGCCTTTCTAGTACTTGAAGATGAGGGGCGGCTGCAATTAGAGAAATCAAACTAAGTTTTAGCTTGTTCTTTTGGACTGGAAGCTTGAAGGACTTGGTGTTTTTTAAGATTACTGGAGTATTGAGAGTTGGATGGCGGAGAAAGGACTAATTTGTTCAAGTCTCTAAGTGGGAGATTGTTAAGATTTATGGAGTCATGAACAAATTGACAAGTTCCTAAGAGTTCAAGGGCCATAAATGAAACTGGAAATTAAAAACAATGATTGTTGAATGGACGGTGGAAATCAATTGTTTAATATTTATTGTCACTATCTCTAATGTGAACGCAAACAATTGAACTTTGAATTGAAGCGAACTTTCGGGTGGAATAATCAATGGACGGCTAAAGAAAAATCTACGCATTTTTCAATCTTTGCGGCAATCTTGTGCATATTGCGGCTCACAAATATACCTATATATATGCAGG